CCAAACACGGTGCCCTCCAGTACTTCCTAATTCTAACTCAGAGACTCTCATAAAAGATAGCAGTTCTTCAGAGTCTAAACCATCTTTATCAGAACTGTGAACCAGGAAATGTGATTAGAAGTGAATGTTAAATAGCTAGGACTATCTAATGATTCTCAGGAGTGGGATGAGAAAAACCCACAACCCTGCCTTCATGAGCAAAGGACAAATGAGGTTCAGGAACCTTCGCCTGGAGAGCTAGGTCCAGTGTATGTGGCGCCACAGAGACTGAGGCCCTGAGTCAGGCATCATGGAGAAACGGCTTTTACTGGCGAAGGGTAGCAGTCTAAGACCAAGTCAGCCTGTGAAGTCACCTCTCTGTAGACCGAAAGGGCATTTCTTCACCTCTTTGGCATATCTTGATTTCCCTCTCCTTGCTACAACTGGGCGGTGAGGACCTTCATTTTGCATTCAAGTGGCAAAATCTTTAGTATTTTAAAGATCTCATGACGCTTGCAAAATTCCCACTCACTGAAATTATCCCTTCCTTCCTCACTCCCTAACTCCCAGGTTGAAGCTCCTGTTTCTTCAGGCAGATCCCTCAGTTGGATTACTGGATTCCAGTGTAAGGCCGATCCCCCACCTCATTCCAGAACAAATAAAGAAATGTTTAGCCCAAAAGAATCTTCTAGCAAAATTGGGGAATTCCTTCAATTTCTTCATTTACTCATTAACCTAATACTGGGCATCTAGTCTATCCTAGACATTTGGGAAACATCAGGGAGCAAAAGAAACAAACAAACACAGAACAGATCACTGCCCCTGCGGACCTTACGCTTCTGCTAAGATTTCTCCATGGCTTGTATGGATGTCCGCAACGGGAACTTCATCTGTCTTTTTATGCAGAGTCTGGCTCGTCACACTGCAACCAGAGCAATCTTTCTAAGGCAAGTAGCATCATGCCATCCACCCCTCACTGCCCACAGCATCAAGTCAAAATGCTCTACACGTACAGGCCCTTCACAGTGTGAACTCAAGGTGGTGAAATGCGAAAAGCATTCACTCTTCTGCGGGTTGGCTGTGAGCATTAAGAAAGGAAAGACCCAGGTCAGTGGGCAGCCACAAAGCACCAAGATGTGCTCGATGTCATACAGAGGTTCCCTCACAGCCACACACAAGTCACTCCAGGCCCTGGCACCAATTCACGGGGCCTTCAGTCAAGGTCCGCTGTGTCCTTGCAACGGTGTCCTAAATCCTACAGAAACAAGTCCCAAGGGTTCATCATGGAGGTCCCCGTTCCTGTACCAGCCCCAGCTCATGGCTCCCCACCTCTCCACACAGGACCACCTCATGCTCTTTGATTAGGCCCTGCCCTTTCAGGTCTCTGCTCTCATTGTAATTCCCGTTGCTCATTCCTCAACCTACTGACCTTCTACCCATCATTCTAAGATCGGCTCCCATGAAGACTTCCCTGGTATCCAGCAATTGCTACTTGCAACTCTATTTACAGGGCTCATCATTTTCCTTGTATACTAGACCCCTAATGTCTGAGAAGAATACAGACAAAGTTCTCGGGAACCCCCAAATTTGCACAAGTGGTAACTCATAGATTTGTCCCCTTACAATGCATGCACAAGGTAGGCAGATAAGAGTAGCCAGTTTTACTTACATTCTCACTGTGGGTAGTGCCTTGGTAGGCGTGACTCAAACCAAATACGTAAGTGCTAAATCTGGGTGCATTACGGTCTAATTTCTTAGACTATTAAATCATCTACTCTTATTAGATTGTAACTCCTTAAGAAGAGAACTTTGAGACACTGAACATATTTACTTCTGTACCTCTCAGAATGTGACACATTCAATTAAAGTACTTTTAAAACAAAAATGAAGTGTGGATGAGAAAAATTCACTGTGGACCAGATCTGTCTATCTTTTCACAATATTAATTAATGGCCCAACATCAAGCTGGAGGAAGTTCTTTCAGGAGGTAATTTATCAGGGGTGACACTAACACACAAGAAGTGCTGCTAGGGAAGCAAGAGGCTTTTTAGGGAAAGGTCTGACTTCCTGAGGGGATTCTCTTAGGAGAGCCAGCCTGCACAGTGCAGGTCACCTCACCAATGAGCTGGAGTAACTACAGCCCACCCATCTAAGAGGCAGGCGGGACGCACTGGTAAGTCAGGAAACAGGTTTGATAGAATCCTGCTTCCCAACTATCATCCCATTTGAATGAATACAACAAAAATAAATGCTCTTGTTGTAATACGCTAAACTGAAAAACACTGCTTAGCAGTTACCCAACCATTCACGAGTCCAACCAAACATCCACTGAACGCTGCTCTAACAGCACAGAGGAGGCAATGGGAATGCCTACTCTTTGACCACCAGGAAGGATGGCACAAAGAAAATTGACTTTGTTTTTAGGGTAGCAATGGCAAAGGTTAATTCTGAATATTGGTTAGTAGCTAGCGTGCGCCTATGGGACAAGTCTCCAGCCTGTCTCCGCACTCCCCGGGCCCCATCCTTTGATTTGGACAAGTGCTAAGTGTTATGTAAAGTAGCTTCGCCCATCCCCGCACCGCAGCACCTGACTCTCATCTGTAGCACCTTCCATAAAGAAAGCACAAAATTGCTTTTGTTTGTTATGGGGAAAAAAAAATTAACCACTAAAACAAAGTGACTCGTGTTTTAAAAATCAAATGCCTCCTGCCATGCTCCCGCATTCCCTTCCTTGGTGGTACCCCGTTGCGCTGCTGACAGTCTGGCATCCATTGTCCCAAGCATTTGTTTTTCAGACCCATGCATACCCCTTAGAAGGCTGGCTTTCATCGAAATGTCATCATTCCACACCTACTGTGTGGTAAGCTCCTCTTTTCTTTCCTCAGCAGCATTTACAGATGCTTCTTCCTCAACCAAAATAACCAAACAAAAACTTGTGGCATCTCTAGTTGGCTTATTATGTTTCTGTGGGTTTTGATTGTTTTTGTCTTTACAAATTTATTTCTGTTGACAGCGTCTTTCTAAAGTGCTCCAATTTTTTTTTTCACTTATTCTCAGCTTACCTCCCGTACTCCACGCTCAATACAGCAAAAATTTCCACGTGTTGTAATTTCTTGAGTTTTGAAAACACAACTTTGGTTCTGAAATCCTATGCACTCCTTCAAGGTAAGACTTTGCTTCATCTTAGCCACTTTGCTGCTGACATCTCAGGTCAAGCCCACATAGCAGTTTCCTGTACGCGTAACAAGTCCAAACCATTCCCGATGATTTAATCAACAAAACTCTTCCCTTCCAGAGCACTTACCCGTTTTCCATGGAAGGCTAAGCATTATGGGTTCTGCAGAGCACTTTCTCCTGCTGACACCCCACCCAACCTACTGTTCTTGAGATAAAAAGTTAGCTGAAAGGACTGGCCTCATTATTGCCATAATTACCTTTCTAATACAACAATTAATGTTTGCTGTTTTCATATTCAAGTGCATTAAGTACTTGGTGCCAAATTAGACTAGAGTCCTTAGCCTTTTCCCACAGGCTGCCTCTCCTCACCCCTCCCCCTGACATCACAGTCCAGTGGCTTATTCAGATGTGACTGGGGCCTCAAGGAGCCATCGGAGGTGGGGGTGAGAAAGGAGGGGGAAGCCCTGCTGCCGCTTCAGACACAAGTCCATAAAGTGTGTCGGCCCACGGATGTATAATGAATATTTGATCCAACAGCCAGAGAGGCGGGCAGGAAAACCCTCTAATAATCACATTTCACGGCTTGTAAAAGTTTTTGGACAACTAAGAAAAACCAGTACTCATGTTTTCAACCTTAGCATTTCAGTTCTCACAGTAACTCCCAGCCTCTGACTCCTCCCCCTCGCTCCTCGCTCTGTATTCTTTCCTCAGCAATTATCTTCTTGGACTAAAACAACAGTGTCAAGAAGCATGAATCACATCAAACCCATGATTCCTGAGGCATTTGTATATGCACCCTTCAGAGAACTCAAAAACCGTAAGTAGAATCAAAGCATAGTATGTGAAAACTAAAAATTATGGCACAAATAAAAGAATTGTGAACTCACCAGATTCCTGTTGCGCAAAGAAGGGTGGTGAATAACGTGGAGAATACGTGTTTATCAGAACACAGCATGACTTTCCACAACCTCAGCCCACTCGGCAGAAAACCCTCTCACCTTCTCATGATCCTCGGGGAGAGTGAAATCTGAGCTCCTACGTGTCTGAACAAAGCGCCCAGGCTCTCGGACGCTCAAGACGAGTGGTTTGTCTATCACTGTGGCTTCCCGCCAACTCCCCTGGATGCTGAGCTTCCCTGCACCCCCAGAATTCCTCACCCCCAGAGTTGACACCTCATTCACACCCTTTTCTCCCCTCTATTTCAGAGCACAGACACAGCTATTATCTTATTTATCACTCAGGCTAAGTTGTATTTTACGTGCGCCCCCCCTCCCCCCAGAGTTTCTATCCTCAAAACCCCGGGAGCAGGAGAGCCTTCCATGTTCCATCATAAGGAGAGAAACAGTATGGGGGCTGGGCTCACTCTTACTTTGATAACAACAACAAAAGGGATGTCAGCTGCTGGGAAATGAAGAGTCATAAAAGTCTGCTTTTCATTAATTAAACAGCTATCTATTAAGCACCTACTGTGCTCTAGAGACTACCGGGTGGGAACATGAATGTGATTAGCTTACAGCTGAAATAACAGAAGAGCAGATAGACCTTACATTGAAATGGCACGATGGTACAAGTGCCACTGCATTATTCTCACAAATAAATATAACTATGAGTGGCCTGTTTCAAGAACAAAACTCAGAGCCTCCCCTTAAGGCCCAGCATCATCTCACATGTTCTGTACATACGAGGTAACAGGAGCTGTGTGCGCGTTACTGTGTATTTCGAGTTCTCCCATCATTATCTCCCACTCAGTCCATCAGCACAGACAAGCCCAGTGTGAGACCCCCTCACCTGAACCCCCGATTCAGCACGCTCGCTCCCTAGAGGAGCAGCGCGCACGGACTGACCTGCTGGACGTCCTGCTGGAACACGCACAGCTGCAGCCTCTGGTGGAGCCGCACCTTGCGGTGCTGCCAGATGTTCTCAAGCTGCCGCTGGTGGTGCAGCACCTCGTGGATGACGTCGAGGACGTGGTGCACGGCCTTGGAGTAGTTGGCAGAGGCTGTCAGGGAGTCAGAGCTGCCGGGAGTCAAGGGCCGCTGGAGCTTGTCAAGGAGCGACTTCCCGTCTTGGCTCACCTGCCCGCAGAACAGACAGATGAGCGAGTAAACATGAGTGATTACTCAAGGTTGGCTGCTGTGCCCGGCCATGTTGCAGGCCCCATCCCTGGAGGCGTGCACACACATTCACGTATACACACACTCACACACAAACACAAGCCATAGTTTGATTCAAAGGCATGTTTTGTAAAGAACAAAAAAATATAATTTAGAACAAATCTATCAGTTATCCAATGACACCACAAAACCAAATGTGGTAAAACACTGAGTTAAAAGAACACTTGTTCTCATAAACACTGTAGATGCTATTCTTAATGAATAAACATAGTATTTTGCCTTAAGTGACAAAAGTCAATGGATATAAAATTGCATTGTTGTGATATCCTCAAATTAAGATTTAAAAGTAATAATTTTCTCTTGAGATATGGCTAGAAAAAAACAATCACAGTGAAATGAAATTTTAACGTTGAATCTTGAAACCTCAAGCTTTTTTAAGAAAATCAATAATTTAGCACTAAGCAAGGAATAGGTATGTAAATTTTCTGACATAGCTGCATAGCAATTTTACTTCACAAAACAAAAAGGAAATTTTAAAATGCCACTTTATTTGGTTCATTAACTTTAAAAAGTAATGTTAATTAAAATGTCATCAGCTTTTGAAAAAGGCTTCAGTGCTGTTATTAAGGCAGTTGACTATCGAAGTACAATTAAATGAAAAGCATTCAGACGAACTAAAGATAAGAAAAGATGAGGGTGGAATATAGAGAGAAAAACATTATGTATTTTTCATTTTTAAGAGATTCTCAAGACTTAGGAATGATTAAGCCAGATGTAGTAGGAAAAAAACATGTCCAATCAGACAATAAAAAGGCACAGCAAGTAACTGGGCTATGTGATTCAGAGGCCTTCTCAAAGCGAGGCCTCAGTCACACGCCCTTTGAGCTCAGACACTTGTGGATCTGAAAACCTCCTTGGGTTTTCATTGAAGGGAGGAGCAAACAGGAGGAGCCTTGTTCACCAGCGCAAACAGGATTCAGAGGTAAGCCCTCGGGATGGGGTGGGGGGTTGGTGAATGGGACAGGCTAACACAGGAAGCCTCTAGCAACCAAAATCGGGAGGCCAGTGAAGGGCCTGTGGAATTTTCTAATCTCTTCCTTTAATCCTCTTCCAACATTGTCATGCTGGAATGTAGCATATTCCCCCCATACCTGATCCAGAGACCTTTGTTGGAGGTGCTGACTATTGCTTACAAAGGCTGCCCTTCATAGATTAATACTGATCTAATACATGAAAATGGCAAAATTTAAGTGAAAACAAGCCAAGCTGACATAACCAAAGATAACAGGTGGAAAAAAAAAAAAAAAAGAAGAACCAAATGAACCACTGAATTAGGGCCAGGCACGTGTGAAAACCAAATAGTGGAAACGTAAGCCTTCTAAAGCAGGGCCCCCCCTGAAGTCACTGGAATTTGCATGGGCACTTCTGACAAAGTGCCTGGAAGAAGGCCGGGCACAGGGAGTGGTGGGGGACAGGGGAATCACTGTCATGGATTCAGAGAGGCAGGATATTACTCGACAATGATGGAAAGTGTCCTGCTTCTGGTAATTACCTGAGCTAGGCACTATTTAACATATAAACATGAAGTTCCTTTTTTCTTTTTCTTGCCTACTCTAACATCCACTGATCTTTCCTGGGAATGCAATGACCACGTTAACCCCAGCAGGCAGTGCTTAGTTTTCTTTGGAACTTTCCAAGAGCTGCTTCCTATTCCAAAACATCAGCACCACAATACCAGTCTCAGTATTTGAGTCAACAAATCTAACTCACGCCCAGTCTGCATTTGTAGTTGCCATAGTTACACTGGTTTTCTATTTATGCCCAGCACCTGAATAGCTGATTTTTTTCTCTTCTACTGTGCATGTTACCTAGGCATTGATAGACAAAAACACATGTTATCGTAAGTCACCTTTCTTTTGTCTCTAATTTATACTGTAGCATATGCAATTTATATATATGAACATATATAAGTGTTATGTAAAGATAATTATCCATGTATTTCATTTCAGCGAGCATCCTCACATTTTTGATAACCAACTGGGACTGAGAACCAGTGCTCTAACTCACACATTCCCACTGTACAGAGCCTAGAGAATATTCCTTATACATATTTCCTCTACGTTTTAGTCCTTACAGGACACATAAGCAGGAGATGTACACCAGAGCATGACTTAGTGAACACGTGTCAGATGGACAGAGATCAGAAGGTGTGGCAGAAATTGACAGCTGCCTCCTCAAACTCACTTGCCCGTCCTCGATCGCCAAACCCGTACAGTCAGGAGCAGTAATACCACAGGTATAAAACTATACTCCCCAACCTTGCTCACAAACAGAAGTGGCCAATGTACAGAACTAAAAAAGAGGACTTTTGAACAGGACTTCCAGAAGAGTGTTGAACAGGAGGCTGAGCATGCTCATTCCCCCTTGCCTCTTTCTCCTTCCTAAGGCCAAAAACTTGGTGCAGACGGTTGTGAGCTTCAGTAGCTGTTCATGACCTTGCGTAAACCTTAAGGATGGCAGCCCACTTGCTAAAAGAGGCAAAACAGAAAGTCAAAAGGGTCCAGAGATCCTCTGACAGACAGAACCTCCCCAGCAGTCCTGGAATGCCAGCCATGGGACCTCTATGCTGGCAGAAGGCAAACCTCTATCTTAAGTCACTGTTTTGGATCTTAAGCCAGCAATACGAGGTGACTAACAGGTTCCCAGCCCTTGCCTAGTCTCCAAGACATCCATGTGACACCATTAATATTCTGCTACTGAGAAGGAAAGAGTAAGCTGAGCAAGAATATTCCAATGATTGTCTTGATGTCTCTGTACCAGCTGGAGAGCAGACGCTATTCCTGGGTTTTGAACGCCATGCTTGCTCGTGGTGGAGGGGTGGTGAGGAATGGCTGAGTACAGAATCACAAATACCTTAACGTAAGACACAGCATTATACGAAGCTTTGCCTTCTGGGACCTCCCAAGCAGGGATTAAAGCGCCTCTGTTGGAGCCACTGCTGGTACTGTTACTTAGCAGTAGACATGCAATAGAAGTAGCAGGAAGGATTCTGGGCAATAAAACACATTTGCTCCCACGAAGCCCAGCGAGCGCGCCGCTCCAAAGGCTTGCTCAGACAGCTTATTTCTCTGAGAAGCCTTTCACTTAATTCCATTTTATGTCAGGGTGGATTTCATAGGTTTGTCAACTTAAAAGGTGCTATTATTCAAGCACATAAAGGATATCATATATACTTCAGTAACTTTTAGCAAAATACCTTTTTCTTTGTAAGTACAATAGTATTATGTAGGGGAAAATATGCTAGAATTTTATGAAGACTACTCTTGCATTTTACAGAAAGAGAGTTTTAAATGGTATAGAATAACTAGATAACAATTACCAAAAGAAGAGATTGGAAAGTATATACAGGCCCAAAATATTTATATACAATTTAAGTACTAAAACAAATTATACATGTAAGTTTACGGTATGAGATGAAGTTTTGATTTCTTTGCTATAGAACCATGTGAATTAATCTGCTTGCTCTATGTATTGTCTAAACATGTGTATCTAGCTTTTTGGCAGTCAAACCCAGTCCCACAAAGGGACAAGACCTGCAAAAAAGAAAATCAACCTTTATGACCAAAAAGCAGGGCTTACCTTCTATAATTTTTGAACAGGTCAAGTGGCTCATTTTCTCAGGCTTGCTCTTTGTTTTTCTTGGGATACAGCAGTTGGGGATACTAATGGTCATGGAAATTACACTTTACAAAGATTAACATTTTATAAACATATGAATTAATACACTCGAGTACCTAAATGAGTTCAGGAAAATGGAAATGCTAACTGAAGCAAAAGAAAGTGATTAAAGTTTAAAAGGTTACCATATCAAAGGTATGTTTGTTCCTAACAGTTAAGAAGAAACTTACCTTCTAATCACAACTGCACATAAAATTTGTGGCTTGAATTCCCATGTCACCCTAAAACATTCCACCGAACCTCAGAGAGACTTGCCTATTCTTAATTCTGGTACTTGGATCGCTACGTTTCCCATTCAACAAGATGAGAGTTAGTCAGAGTCTCTAGCAGGAACAGTCTTCACTTGCACAAAGGAAGAATGTGGCTCTGAGCTACAAAAACAGTCCTGGGAGATAATTGCTTAGAGCTGCAAAAACCTGCACCCAAAGAGAGACAAACTATGACCTGTTATGTTGATGAGGTCGAAACGTGGTGCTGTTGATCTGAAAGTGCTAGGAAATGTTCTTCCAGAGACAGAACCCAAATAAGCAAAATACACAAAATACATAAAGATATGGTTAGAAATGACTCGACTTAGCCTGTCATAAAGAAACAGTGGTCCTTCAAAAAACTCTCAGGTGCGCTAACTAGAACCAATACAGGTTTTGGTCATTTTGCAGGGCTTGGCTTGCTCTGGCCTGCAGAACACACACCTCCACGCTAAGCCTGGACATGGTTTCACAGCCACCACCATCCTTTCCAACTCTTATGTAATTATTCTCAAAAAAGCTTTTAGCAGAGCAGGAAAGAGTATCATAGACGTCAGCACATGAGTACCCAGCTTCTCTTGTACCTAAGAGTGACACTCCTCAGCCAAACAAGTGAACGCTTCGTCTTTGGGTGAGAAGGTTAAGCCTGTCTTAACAGGGCTACACTAAGAAGCTCCTACCAATGACACGGGCCAGAAAGTCCCCTATTGTCACTGTGTTCTCCCATGCTTCAGGGGGGCCACCTCAGACAGGCGAGCAGCATCCCCGCCTTCACAGCTTTGGGCTCCCCTCTGAGGCGGTTCTTTCCCTAGGCAAAGACCTGAGAAATCAGCTTATAAGGTCTGTTCTATTTCTTTTAGATACTGGGTTTCTTACTCAAAACCAGGCCAATCTAAGTGTGTTTGACTCTGACACCTCTGAGATCATTAGAAAGGAAAAACCAAAAACAAGACCCAAACAAGAAACTGCTGGGGT